GATATCCCCATGGGGAACCATTAGAGATTTGATCTGTGGGGGCCCTCTCGGGGGCTGGGTAGGAGAAGCCTATTGGAGAGTATTTTCCACAGGCAGAACAAATAGGATAAGCCCTCACCCCTGTATTTTCTTGCTGCTTCCTAGGAGTCTCATGACATTCACCTTCACATTCGCCTGGGAGCAGGAGACAGGGTGTTTTGCCCTTCTCATGCTGTCTAGCAGAGACTGATTCATAGAGGTGGTGGGTGAAGGAGAGCGAAGTTCTGTGGCTGCTGCCAGCACTTTGCTCTTCTGAGGGGTCTACAGAGTAGTGAGGGTAAGAAATCAGTATCTGAAATTGCTCACATTCCAGTAGAAAAGCCCATGTAACAAGGTTAACTTGTGAAAAATGTTGGTTCCTGACATGGTAGCAGAGTAAGGAAAATTCCTTCTGTTTCCCCTTAACTTCATATTATATGTGAACGGCCCTGCCAGCAATGTCTGTTCCTTAAAGCCATCCTCTCCTGATGGCCTGAGGCTCCCACTCCTACAAAACAAGCAGTGACAGGGTTGTAAGAGTGGTGCACTAACCCCACTAGGGTGGGCTGATGGTGGCTTCATTCTCTGGCCCCATGGAAGAACCCGGGTTGGCTGGCTACACATGTACTTAAGTGCAAACAGGTCTGCTCTGGGCTACAGCTGTCCTTTCCCCAAGGCACGAGGCTACCTGAGGAAGGAATGTTGTAACTGTGGCAAGAGAGATGCAACATTCTGGCCCTCGAGCTCCGGACCAGGACTCTTCATGTAGCCTGCGACACGCATTGGTGGTGCAGCAGCAGCCCAACTATTCTGATCTGGGGAGCCTAGAATGCAGAGTCCGGCTACACTCTCTTTTGGTCTATTCCTATTAATTGGTTAAGCAGCAGTCTGGTGTCTACACTACTTGGAGATTTTTTTTTTTTTTAACCAATCAGTTCCCACCCCATATTTTTAGAGAGAAAACAGACTGCCACTGGTTTATTAGCAAGCTAAGGCATATGCTGAGCTTTATTACACAATCAGGAGTGATGTGTTTATGCCTGAAACCCAAGAAGAAAATAAATGAAATGACAAGGATCTCCAGTTTTTCCAGCACAAGAGAAATAAGTAATATAGAAGCACTCACACAATTAAATAAGAGCTACTTGGAAGTGTAATAATCAAGGCTTTAGAAATATTAATGAGACACATCGGATGTGATACCAAAAAAAGCACAGTAGCCTGAAAGCTTCACCTAGGGGGATCATGAGTTACATACAGTACCTTAATTTCTCCTCCATTAGTCTCATTTCTGTTTTACCAACAGGATTACAAGCTAGTAAACAAATGCATTTATTCTGGGTAATGAACGCTAAGGAGGCGAATGAAAAACCAACTTAGAAATCCCACCATCTTTCACAAGTCCCAAGATCTCTAAGCATTAGGGGGCAGTATAGGAACACTGACTAGCTAGTGCTTTGTTATGGTGCATCTCTCACACTAACTGCTGATGCATAGCTAACACAGCAGCAGACATTGATTTATGTTCAACTTTCCATTTCATCAGAGTGTGTTACAGAGCGACATACAGAGTTCAAACTTTGGAGAAAATATATAACCAGAGTGTGTCTCATGATTATTATATACGCATGTGTGTGCGCATATACATGTACACACACGCACACTTGCATGGCATTTACTCATTACTAATAAGGCCTTAAACTTTTGTTTGTAGCTCTTGAGCAGTAACCCTTTTGTCCATTGTTAGGAACAGGAGAGATCTAGTCTATTGCTGTTGACATTAGGCATAAATTTAGCTTTCTAACTAGGATGGGAAGAGCGTCCCTGACCTTTTTGAAGATGAGTGAAGGGAAAAAAATGTTTTTGTACTATAGGTCACTATTAGGAAGGGAAAGGAATTTTAGCAGGTAACCATCCATGTGACCATAGTACAGTCACATGATAAACATGAGAGTTTCCTGCCACTAGTTCATTAACATTCTGAACCCATATATGTGTACACAGCACTTGTTAAAGTGTTTCATTTTTGGCAAGATGCCTGGCAGCAACAGGGATCTAATGACAATGCTTTACCATCAAGAGTGTCCAACCTTGCACAACTGAAGGCTGCATTTACCATTTGCCACAAGATGAAAGGTTGCAGCTAATTTTTATAAAATGGAATAGACTGTAGGCATTCTCCACCACAAACTCCAACACAAAGTTGTGGCCTGCCACTGGGGCATTACATGCTGGGACCAGTAGTCTCCCAGGGCCACCATCATCTTGGATACAACTAGATTTCAGAACTCTGCCGGTCACGCATTTGGCCCACAGGCTATAGTGAAAACGGCTTCACGATGAGAGTTTTTACAAATCTCATCAGCCCTAGAGAACCTCGTACCCAGTATTACAATGTAAGAGCCTGTTGGGCTCATAGCTGTGTGCGCTATACTAAGATCTACTCCCTTCCAGTGACCCTTATGGCTTCAACCACCACCGCTATTCCAATACACCCAAAACCTGCCCCCTTATCTCCAGTCTCTCCTACAAAGCCATAAGCCTGAAGGAGGAGATGTCCACGGTCATCTCTAACCTAATCACCCCTCAAACTGACCTCCTTATTTTCCCCTGTAATCTTCATTGACAACTCTACAGGTCTTCGAGACAGGCTGGGCTGATCTCATTGTTCCCCATGACCCTTCTCTCCTTTGTTCTCCTTTTCCCATTCTTGGCCTTGTGTCTCCTACCATGCTTCCCTTGATGCCTGGAACTAGTTCTCTGGCTTTGCATGCCAGGCCTCTTCCTCCTCTAACCCTGCTAAAAGCTAGCTTTGAGAAGGAAATCCCTCCTCCTTTGGGATCCTCAGTAATCCCCAGACCTTCCTTTCCTGAATATCCAGTATCTGGTGTTAAGCTCACTGGGGGAAGGGGCCAGATCTAGGATTCTGAGGTGCTGTGCAGATTAATGCTATTCTGTAATAGAATTTTTATGTTGACGTTACTGGAATCCATACTAACCACTAATACACAAAATCCAAGGTAGTAGGTCAAGTCTGGAAAACAATTGGGGCATAGTTAGAGCACCCCTTATATTACACCAAGTCAATGGTCTTCAGTGATCCGATTCCACATTACGCCTGTACTACATTCTGGTTCCATTCCTTGCCTCCATCTGCTAGTGGACTAGTCAGTCTATTGCCCAGGCTGACACATGGGTCAGGGAGGCAAATCCTAACTACTTCAATCCTTCGCATTTCCTGTGTCCCTTCAGACATTGCCCTCTCCAACTCAGTGTTCTGTTCTGCTACAAAGATAAGAAATTAACTGAAAAGTAGCTAACAGCTCAACACAGAAACCCCCCAGCAAGACTGCCGGAGCAGGCAGAACTTTAAGTCTCCAGCATATCCATACGTGGAAACGATCCGAACATCTAAAAACATATATATATTAAGGTGGTTTTGGTACCAAGTTCAGACACCGCTAAAACATGGCATCCTTTCCAGGGGTGAGGGAGACGGCAGTTGGGGGTGGTAGAATTTGGGGTGGGAGGACAGGTTTTAGGGAAGCACTGCTTGTGACAAGTGAATCACGTGGAGGGAGTCCTGTTGCCCACCAATGGACACCAAGGCTACAAGAGCTGTGGGCCATTATAAACCAAAGGAAGGAAGAAATGCTTAAATTCCCTCTTTCACTCCTACCCCACATCCACTCGGATTAAATAAAATGTGTTACTTCTCGATCTGCTCCAACTTTTTTGAAATTTGGAACCCCCCAGAGGTGTGAGGTTGCAGGCTAGGGCGGGACAGGTAAGGACCAATTCCTCACTCAGCAGAATGAAAATTAAAACCCTGGAAATACATTTGTTATGTACAGGGAACAGAACTCAAGTTGCTGGCAGCAGCTATAATCGGTGAGGCATCATCTCTTTTCTCTGTGTCTCCTCCAATATCAGAGAGGCTTCGTAACCCTGAAACAGGCCAATCAATATTCAAATGTTCTTATTTTGACATAAGCATGTTCAGGAAATGGGGAATTGTTTAAAAAAATATCCTCTCTCTCCATGCATGCACATCAACTGCAATACTGCCACAACAAATCATGATCAGTTTATCAAGTAAAGCTGTCTATTGCCCAAGAACTTCTCCTGTATACAAGTCATGAACCCAGATAACAGCAGCAACTGGTCAGAACAAATATTACCCACCGACAGCCAGCTCATTTGTTACACGAACAAGCACTTATTCCTTAAGAAATAAGATCATAACGCACCATTTCACATTGAAGCAACCAGTACATATACATGGCATACAAAGAGGTTTCAGAGAAATTAAAAACATCTTACAAGTAATAAATCTTAAAGCTTCCATTCCAAATGCTCTTTAAAGTCCTTCCCATTAGGATCACGCATAGATTATACTGCCAAGTCTTGAATCAGGGCATAAGTAAAATGAACCATGGAAATGGAGGGGACACTTAAAGAACTCTGACAGACAAATTCTTACAAGGTGTCTCCTTGACACGCAATGATTTTTGACCCATATTGAATCTGCTTCTGCCTGTGGCTACAATTTAAGCTAGTGTTTGTTAAATGCGTTCAGTGATTGCAGTTGGAAAAAATTAAGTGGTTAACCAGAGGAAAAAGGTTCCAAGAACCAAAATCCAGCATGTTTTGAATTATGCACAAGCCCGTTATGACCGAAGAATAAAATAAAATCTCTACCCGCCTTCCTCCCCAAAAAAAAGCAATTTTGGAAAAATATCAATTGTAAAAAAAAAAAGAATCCGTGAGTAATTTGCTGTGCTTACAAAAAGCAATGTGGAATAGCAGCAGAAGGTTACAATTGATTGGCTACTTCTGGCTTTTTTCATTAAAAAAATTAATCAAGAGATAAAGCATCAGACTGTTTTCTGGGATCCTCTTGGAAACTGCAATGCTGACATTAAGAAGCCAAGGAGAGACATGCAACACCACCAAAAAGAATCAGGAAGTTCAAAACCTACCTGAAAGAAGCCTGGAGGGATGGGACCGCCTGGCATTCCATCATTAGGAGGAATGTTTCCTAGTACTGGACTTGGGGCTGCAGCTGCGCTCTGCAGGAAACAGAAAGATGGACAAATTGATTTCATGTCAGATTTAAAAGGCAACCTCTCCTGCCATAACTCACTATACCAATTAACCCACGACTAATCACGGATAGCATCAAAGGGGTATGAAATCAACCCTCACCCTCTATGCCTATTTACAGAACACTGGGCTTAAGCACTCAACCAAAATGGAAGCCGATGGTGGTCTTTAGGTTTAATATCTTGGGACCAAATATTGCTCAGGTCACCTCTATGCCTGGGTGCAACTGAGGGCAGGGATTGACCCTAAAGTGACTTTTTAAACAACTTTTCCACGCCATCCATTTAATGATGGTAAGTACGTATTTTAGAAATCCAACAGCGTCATTCATATCAAAGGAAATCAGCAAAGATGCCCTCAGGTGACGCATCATCATCAGCTTAGATTTTTTGTTTGTTTAACTCCAAGATTTTTTGGAACAAAAGCAGCTATGTCTCTTTCCCTACTGATTTTCCCTTCATGGATCATCAGTGAGGACTCTGAACCCACTGTTCAGGGTTTCCAATTGACCTAACACTCTCTTCTTTCTCTCCCCCACCCACCATTTATTTACTTCCTTGTTCCTGCACCAGTGTGTTCTCTCTCGCTCTCTCTGAGGTCAGCATGCTTCTGGGAATGGAGTTCACATTATCCATTAACAACCAAGAGGAAGGGCTCATGTTGCACTCTGTTCATGGCCCTGCAAAAACTGGGGCTTTTTAAAAACAAAAAAAAACCCAACCACAATATTTAGTATCGTTAATCCATTGGTGAATCTGATTTTGGATTCTAATGTGTCAAATTTGGAACTATTTAAAAAAATAAACGTAACAAGTCTGCTTTATTTTTCCAGATTTGCCGCACTGTTTTGCTCTGTCCTCCAAGAAGATGCATCCCCCACCTTGCAAGTGTGCCATTTTATTATTTGTTTTCAAGTAAGTGTCTTGTAATAACTGCCAATGTTTCAGCTCTACATACAGCCCCTTCTCTCCAGGCCCCTCACAAAGCCTGTGCATTTCTTTATATTTTAGTTGCTTGGATGGTATTCCTAAATGGCAAGTGGCTCTGCTGAAAGCCTTTGTTTTGGTAGACAAATGATTTGGTTTTGTTCACCCTTGTGTACAGCAGAGACTGCAGGTTACTTGGATAACACTTGTTCCTATTTAGCAACCGTATTAATATTTACTCCCTCTAGATTATATACATTGTGGGGCAAAGGGGAATTCTCTGGCATGCAGATCAGCCCCATAGTGGGCCGTGAAACAGAACACCTTCTGGGTTTTGCTGGGTGAACGGGCCATTTTTATAACGACAGTAGGTAAAGATAAACAGCTGCAAGACTAAACAACTGAGTATTCACTTTCAGTTTATGAACCAATCACTCCACTTTGGCCTTTCACCTATGGATACAAACTGAAGGATCTTAGTTTAAATTTGGCAGATTCTGCTTGTGTTAAAAGAATAGCTGTACACACTGAACTAGCCTGCTACTTAATATAAGTGGCAGTTTCTGCTCTGAAAAGGAGCAGTATTATGTAAGGCTGCTGCTACTCAGAAGGAAAAGAAAGATTTCTTCCCTCACCACCACAGCTGACAGAAATGTCCCTTCTAGGACAGGGATAACCATTTTGCTGTAAAAATTTTGCTGTTGCTCATTTATCTGTAGACAAGAGAGCCAATACTTCCAGTGCCGTTTTAAAGATCATAGTAATTTGAAAACCAATGTGATCGAGTTTAATGCAATCAGTGATTACTTTCCTTTGAATTTTTACGATGAGCTTGTGTACTTGATGTTACATAACAGAACTAACTCTCTCTTCCTCCAGTCATTTAAATTGCATTCACAAAGGAAAACCCACAAGATAGCAAAACACAGCAAGATCCTCTTTCCTCTTGGTTTAAGTCCCACACCTACAAATCTCTCCTTCCCACCAAAACTTCTCTAGAGAGAGCAACACTGGAGAGTCCATTTTAAAAAGGTAAAAGGCATCTTTTCAAGTGTTTATCGTAATTTATGTGATGGCAATTTCAACAAAACAAGAAACTCGGAAAGATTTCAAATGGGCAAGGTAAGCCTTATGACAAGTCAGGAACGAGCTGAAAAACACCACAATATTTCACCCAATTTCAGCCAACAAAAACCCTCAGATTCAGAGTCCAGATAGTGAGTTTGGGTTCAGAAGGCCCCATATGACAGTTAGCACATCAACCAACTGAATTCACCTCTCCTCCATAGCCTCTCTCTCTTCTATCCTTCACGCCAAGCATCATTGGATGGATGTATGTAAACAGGGAGGGGAGGGAAGCCAGCTTAATAGAGCTTTTAAATTATTAACCCATTTTCAGTTTTTGGTAGAAAATTTGCCTCGAGGCTAACAACCTGTATGCCTGGGTTTCAGTTCAGTGTAATTTGAAACTGCCAAGCTATTTACACCTTGCTGAGAGACGGCTATGTTACCAATGCAAAGTACAAAACCCAACACAGTAATACTGAGCAGCAAGACTGAAATAACCTATTGAGCACAAATAAAGCCCCTCATACGCATGGGATCATTATTCTGCAAGTGTTTTTTGAAGGAAGGAATAATGGTCTGGTTGTGGGGAATGCCCCTTTTAGCGAGGGCACAGGACGGTTTCTGCACAAATTAGTTCAGAAGGAACTTTTGCGCTCCTGACTTTTGTTTTAGGTTTCTCTGCCTTTGCAGGCAACCAGCTCCTGCTCCACCAGTCGCATGCAGTGAGCTGTGAAGTCACAGCTATTACTTGCTCCAGAATGGTTCTGGGCACTGGCTAGTCAGGGGGGAAGCAGGGGACAAGTGCTGCTTTAGATTGTATGGGTTTGTAGTTCACCCGTACCTGCATTACATTTTATAGCCAAATCCGTATAAAGCATTTTTATTAAACATTACAAATAATAAAGATCTCAAATAGACGGGCTGCTTCTAAAATGTCTTTTAGCCAGAACATGGCAACAACCTCTCCCCACAAAGCCATCCACAGCAATCATCATAAGCCACTGCTTTCACCCTTGCAAAGCTGATTTGGACCAAAGTCAATTTACAGGATGGATTAAAAAAACAAATGTAAAAAAATGTGATTTTTTTAAACATTTAAATTAATTAAAAAACAAACAAGCCTACTTACAATTAAATTTCAAATTGACCTAAGGTCCTAAGAACTTCTTATAATCTATTAAAGTCATTTAAATTAAATACAATAATTTTAAGCAGTCCATGTTTGTTGCCAAATTTTAAAGGAAGGCAAACCACTGAACCGGTGGAAGTCACTTGCTAAGCTCCTAGAACCAGAGTTTATAGAAGTATTAAACCAGCTTTTGGACAGCCTTAGCCTCTTCTGCAGGTGCAGAGAGAATATTCTCTTCAATTCAGTTTATTCAACCAGCTCAGTTCAGTTCATTCAAAGTTAAGAAACCAACTGGGAGCTGAAAAGGAAGGAGAGCTTGTTCACCTCATCCAATCTAAATAAAAACCAGGTGTGAGAGGATGAGCTCTACTAGTTCTAAAAATCTTGAAGAGCATGGTGACCAGAAACAATCAGTTCAATGGGTTAGCTACAAATAACATTTTTGGTGTTTAATAAATCAGTTAGCTTTAAATGCAAAATATTCTATTTTTTTTAAATGTATCCAGCACTTAATTTTTTACATTAAATAAAACTACCCAACAAGTGCATTAATTTAAATTAAATTACCATTCAAGTAGAACTTGACAAAAATCACAAGTAAAATATTAATCTGGTAAATAAGGAATGCATTTGCCATTTTCTGATATAATAAAAAAATGTAAAGATTAAGAATCTGAACAAATGCAACTTACATAGTTTAACTGCTTAAATAAGTAAGTGTGTACACACAAACCCCTCCTGGTTAGCAAAAAGTAGTAACAAACAGTGCAAAGGCTATATTTAGTTGCAAATCAACATGTTTTAATAGTTACAAACTAATGAGAATCAGTCCTTTAGAACTGAAAAGAACTAAAAAAGTACAAATGTAAAACATGATTAAAATAGGTGATTTACTTGCTGGTTTATATCATGATTGAAGTCAGTGATTTAAATTGCTTTGATGTAAATTAATCCACCTCATCAATTTACAAAACTAGATTATGAACCCTGAAATTCCAGGTTTAATAGCAACTGTCAACTCTCCGGAGGTGCTACCTAGACCAGTCTCTGTAGTACTGGTTACAACATCTGAGCAGCCTTTTTGGTGGATCCTACATTTAAGGAGCCCAGCAGTGATTTTGTCATCAAATATCCACGTCCCATTCCTGTACACAACGAAGCAGGCCTCGCCTCACCCCACCAACTGTGATGGCCATAACTGGCTCTCAAAAGCACAGGCAGGTGGAAGACTTATTTTTATTTAAATCGTTTCAGTAAAAATTATAGGGTGTCCCTAGACGAGGAAAGTTTATATCGCAGGCAGTGTGTGGTCTGTGATCTCTGGAATGGGAGTCAAGAAACCTGCTGAGTAGTCTGATAAAAGTCACTTCACCTCTCTGCGCCTGTGTGTTCCATCCCATTCATATTGTCTGTCTTGTCTATGTAGGCCAGAGGTTAGCAAACTATGGCCCATGGGCCACATCTGGCCCGCAGGACCATCCTGCCCGGCCCTTGAGCTCCCAGCCAAGGAGGCTAGCCCCCAGCCCCTCCCCGGCTGTACCCGCAGCCACGCCGCTGTGCGGGCAGGACTCTGGGCAGCGTGCTCCTGCCGAGCAGAGCAGCAGTGTGTCTAGCTCCGGCCGGGCGGCGCGGCTGCGACATGCTGCTCTGAGTGTCATGGTAAGGGGGCCGGGGGGGTTGGATAAGGGGTAGGGAGGTCGGGGGGGCAGTCAGGGGACAGGGAGCGGTTGGATGGGGCGGTCAGGGGACGGGGGGGTTGGATAAGCGTGGGGGGCAGGGGTGTGGACAGGGGTCGGGATAGTCAGGGCACTGGGAGCAGGGAGGTTGATAGGGGTGGGGTCCC